TTTGATTGATTTAAAGCTTGTTATAAATAAACCACAGGAATTAACAGTCATATTAATTTGCTAATCCAGTATCTATTGGATGGTAAAGGAAATTTTTTAAAAAAATTTTCTCAGGCAAATGTCATATTCACACATCATTAATGAGCACTGATTGTAGCAGGTAGTGTAATAGGTGCTTCACATATACATTATTTATTTTGTTCCCAACACCCTGTGATATAAGAATTATATCCACATTTTAAACTTGAGGAAACATGCTCAGAGTGCAACAGCTTCCTGCTAGGCCACCTAGGCAGGACCCTTGGAGCCAGCAACTGAATCTGGTCCTTGTGATGTCAAACCCTTTGTTCTTCCCACTACAGGACCATCGGCCTCTGGAAATGGTCACTGACGCAGGACATCTTGGACAATCTGGAAATATCCCATCTTTGCCTTGTTTTTTTTATTTTCTTCTGTGTTGTTTCCACAATGGTCTCTAATTGAAGCTCTGTAGCCCAACAGGCCAGAGCTGACACTGACGCAGAGTCCAGCAGATGGCACAGTCTGATGCTAGGGTCGCTAGAGGATAAAGGCACCACCCTAGCCACTGGAACACCTGTGCTTAAAGTGGAGGTGACCACCCCCCCCACCCCCGCTTGCTGCTTCATTAACACAGAGTCTCAGATTTTTCCTACAGGAAGCTTTCCTGTACTCTGAGCATGTTTCCTCAGCTTGTTTTTTTTTTTTTGAGACAGAGTCTCACTTTGTTGCCAGGCTAGAGTGAGTGCCGTGGCGTCAGCCTGGCTCACAGCAACCTCAATCTCCGGGCTCAGCGATCCTCCTGCCTCAGCCTCCCGAGTAGCTGGGACTACAGGCATGCGCCACCATGCCGGCTAATTTTTTGTATATATATTTTTAGTGGCAATAATTTATTTCTATTTTTGGTAGAGACGGGTCTCGCTCAGGCTGGTTTCGAACTCCTGACCTTGAGCAATCCGCCCGCCTCAGCCTCCCAAAGTGCTAGGATTACAGGCGTGAGCCACCGCGCCCGGCCTCAAGCTTGTTTTTTTAAGTGGATTTGCAAAGACTCCTCATTGCTTAGGAGTGGCTTGCTAGCTACTGGCTTCCTAACTCAGCATTGACAATGAATGTAAGAAATTGGAATTAAAAAAGAGATCGGCTTTCATGTTGCTTTTGTCTCCAGTTGATTAGTTAACTCAGGGCAGGGCTGGATGTCACGGTGGACTGCACTGAAGAATAATGATCCATTCAGTAAATGTTGTACTCATCCTCAATTCAGTATGTCAATATGTCATTTTCCTCCTTTTGAATAAAATACTTGAAAATCGTCATTTGGTGCAAATAAAGGGAAGCTTTAATAGAAAACACAGGCATTGCGATTACAAATAACACTACAGCTAAACATTACAGCGTGAAGGATCCTCACAGAATTAATATTTGGTTGCAAATTATAGGGAGGGGCACAGTACAGGTATTAGTATTGATAAATCTGAGGGCAAATTGACCCAGCAAGTAGCCACCGCCACTTGTATCTTTGACAGATCTGGTTTACTCTAGGG